TTTATTTTATATTAATTTTAATTTTAATTATTATTTTAAATAAAACAAAATTTAAATGAATAAAATATTAATATATAAAATAAAGATGTGGAGCCTAATATGAGTTCTTTAGAGTTGCATCATTTGAGTGAAAATTGAGTGAGTTGCTTCAAGATGATGTGGTTTAATGGATCTCACAAGAAACCCAAAAATGAGTTGCACCATTGGAAATGCTCTTAGCTTTTGCGTGAGCTTTGTCGTGAAATTCTCGTATTTATTAAGTTTGTTTATTTTAATAATGTGCATTTCATTTATGTCTATGTGTGTTATCATTAAAAATAAATAAATAATAAAAAATAAAATCAAAATCAAAATAAAATAAAAAACATTTTTATTTGTTTTTTTTATTATTAAGTGGTATTAATTTATTATTTTTGAGATCCAACAAAACCCAGTTGATAACACTAAAACTAAGGATAGATTTAGTATTAAAATAACTTGAAAACCCTAAACTGGGGTATTTAGGTTAAGATTTATAGACCCTTTTTAAGGGACCACTAGCCACTACTCTCCATTCCTATTCACACAATCAGAAAACAAAATAAATAAAAAAGTGGAAAAGAGAAAAAGCTAAAAAGGAAAAGAAAAGCATGTGGCTTCTTTATTTCAGTGGTCTTCTTATTCGCGCGAACATTCTTTTTATTGTCAACACTCGATTTAAAATGTTGTAAAATAGTTCAAAAAGATTATTAGCATTTGACTCTAAAATAAACAACATAATAGTTCAGAAATCGAACGTCAACCCCAATTCAATGTTACATGAATCAGAGTAGAATTATACTACATAAAACGATAAACTAAAGAGAGTCTCCAAAGGCTAGCTTCCACTTACTTCCACATAATCTACTCCTGAGTATCTACATGTTACCCACGTGGAGGCAACATTCAAACAAAAGGGTGTGTAATCATAAACAATTATAAAATACATAAGAAAATATAGATTGCAACATTAATAAACAACTAATTTAACAATATCAACATATCATAAACTCACACCCCAAACACCATAAATATCACGTATACAACTTCCATCACAAGGATCAACATAGAGTCATGTAACTTCTCAATGATCAACACACCATATAGCACCAACAAAATTATGCAATGCCACATAAAATACTATGCAAACAACATTGACTCAATGCATGTGATACCAAGTTATGAACACACGTGTCCATTTCACTCCATGTTATACCACCATAGAATACATGATTCACTACCATGGGATCTTGGTTCATCTTGAACCGGGCCACAACAACATTGTTACAACAACCATAAGTAACACTTCACTAATTCCCCAAACAAAAGAATTATTTACTCGCACTCCCACCATAGGAAACAAGGTCACATAATAAATAGAACCAAGTTCCGACATTATATATGCATAATTTACAACATGAAACAACAACATCATCAACAACAAATACACATTGGTCCATTCTTGACCGTGTATGCCAACATCATCACAACAGCAATAGCGCAATTCATCTCAATAACATCATCATAGCAACATCAATATAACAACATTATTAGCATCAACACCATAACAAATCTAGCCGTATTCACTTGTTCTTACATATACTCCATATTGCTTCTTCTTACATATACTCTGCTGTGGATTTTCGATCCTTAGCATCACTACACCAACTCGAATCAGTGTATCTCACTAACTTGCATTTTTCCCTTATTAACTACAGGAAACAAAATACCATAATAGAGAGTTCTTTTGAGATACCTCAGTATCCTCTTCGCCACTGCTAGGTGTGATACATTTGGCTTCTACATGAATCTACTCACCATACCTACATTGTATGCTAAGTCAGGCCTCGTGTGACAAAGGTATCTTAATGATCCAATAAGTTTTCGGTATTGGGTTGGGTCGACATCATCTTCATCTGCATCTTTCGACAGTTACAACCTTGGTTCAGCAGGTGTCGAAGTCGAGTTACATTCTTCCATCTCAAATCTCTTGAGAATTTCACTTGTATATCTTTTTTTATGCATCATCACAACTCTACTAGTCTTGTAGAACTCGATGCCAAAGAAATATGAAATGTCACCCAGATCTGACATTTCGAATTGCTTGTTGAGATCACATTTGAAGTCTTCGATCTCCTTCTTGCAGCTACCTGTTACTCCATATTGCTTCTTCTTACATATACTCCATATTCAGTTGTGCACTTCACAGATTCCTTCTTCCTTAGAAAACTATCAATCTTATTATTCCAAGCTCTTAGAGCTTGTTTCAATCCATACAGAGCTTTATGAAGCATGTACACTTTTCTCTCTTTGTTATGTTTCACAAACCCAATTGGTTGTTTAACACAAACTTCTTCGTCTAAGGGTCCATTATGGAACGCACATTTCACGTCCATCTGACATATGTGCCAACTATTTATTTCTGCAAGACCAACAACCAACCTGATTGTTTCGATTCTAGCCACAGGTGCAAAAACTTCATCGAAGTCTATTCCTTCTTTCTGAAGAAATCCTTTCGTCACAAGCCTTGCTTTGTGTCGAGTTACTTTCCCTTTGGGATTCATCTTCGGCTTATACACCCACTTGACATCAATTACTTTCTTGCCTTGAGGCAATTCGACAAGTGACCAAGTGTTATTGTCTTCGATAGACTTCACTTCTTCGTTCATTGCTTTCACCCACTTTGAATCCTTCAATGCTTCAATTGCATTGACTGGTTCAACATCTTCATAGAAAGCATAATATACCAGCTCACCTTCGTTATCAACCACATCATTTGATGTAATCACATATTCTTAAAATCTTGCGGGCATGCGTCTTATTCTTTAAGGTCTGCTTATACTTGGTTGATCTATAACTGACGATTCCTCTCGTCGAACTTCTCTTTTGACTTGAGTTTCTGGTTCTTCAAGTAGGATTCTCACTTAATCTTTCTTGACATTTTCCGTCCAAACCCATTCTTTATGCTCATCTATGATCATGTCCCTGCTAAACACAATTTGCTTATTCACTGGGTCGAACAACTTGTAATCTCATGTCGAATGATATCCTATTGGGATCATTTGACTCGACTTGTCATTAAGTTTTCTTCTCAACTGATCTGGTACATGTCTATGTGCAATAGATCTAAATACCTTCAGATGACTTCACACCAGACCAACATTCTTCTGGAGTAATTCCTTCTAGCTTCTTCGTAGGACATCTATTCATAATGTATGTTGCAGTCAACACAACTTTGCCCAAAACTCTTTAGGTAAACTCTTCTTTTCAACATACTTCTCACCATATTCATGATGGTTCGATTCTTTCTTTATGCAGTTTCATTCTGCTGTGGAGTGTAGGGTGGCACCACCTCATGCACAATTCCTTCTTTTTCACATAATTTGTCAAATTCTTTCGACACGTAGTCTCCACCACCATCAGTTCTCAAAAACTTTGAGCTTTCGACCAGTTTGTCTTTCGACCATAGACTTAAATTTGACAAATACCTCAATTACTTCACTTTTTTTCGTGATCATGTAAGTCCACGGTTTTCGACTAAAATCATCTATAAATGTAACAAAGTATTTGTTACCTCCCATCAAATCTACCTAAATTGGTCCATATACATCATAGTATATGACTTCGAAAATAGCCTTCGACTTGCTTCCTGCATCCTTGTTGAAGCTATTCTTGTGATGCTTCGCCTTCCCACATTCCTCACACACTTCATTTAGAATGTCACCATATTTCTTCTTTTCAAATCTCAAATGTCTCTGAAGTTTAGATGGCCTAGTCGGTAATACCATATCCATTCATCTCTGCTAGCTGCAATCGGAAGACATTTGTTCTCCATCACATTAAATTCAATCTTTAAGATTTTATTTTGAGACATAGGAGCCTTCAAGATTAACCTTCCATTTGCATCAACGACTCTCATCATCTTGTCTTTGAACGACATTTTATAGAGCAAATTGCTCTCAATGCCTAGTATATATAATACATTGAAAATTACTAACCTCTTCTCATCTTTCCTTCCAAAACATGTGTGATGAGTATCTTGAATCTAAATACTATTGTCATTGAATTTACCTTTATCTTTGTTGTGACTATCAATATTATCTCTTCTTCTTCTTCGTGTTTTACAAACTTTGATTCAAATGAAAAACTAATTGATTATTGACCATTTGTCTTCAAAATTTTGTTGAGTTTTATTTAGTCTGGAGATTTTTTTTAAATCATTTTATGGCGTAAGACCCACTCTCTTTAATTTCAAAAAGTATGATATTCCTATCATTGCTATTTGTGAATTGTAAATGATGTTCTTCATTGGTCACTTAATTGACCTCCTATATACATTATAATTGGGATAAAAATGGTATGCAAAAAATCTGGTTTGATTAATTTTAGTTTACGCAAGGCAATGCATCTAATTTGTTTGGAAAAAAAACATGAGATATTAAAAATTGTATATATACAAAATTAGCGAATCAAATATATATAATTATAATTTTGATAATGTATCTAAATTTGATAAGTAATGTTGTATTATTAGTGAATTTTATTTAGAGTTGAAAACATAATTCTACTAAATTTGCCATCTTTGTTATCTTTCTATTCTGCGTCAAAAATAGAAAAAGCAATTATTTACAAACATACAATTGAGAATTGAAAAAAAAAATGCTACTAGGTCAGAATTCTCCAATTTGACAAAGGAGACGTCTACAGATGACGCGCAGTGCAAGTAACAACCGGTGAGATATTTCCTTAATTCATTAAACTCATGGATTAGATAATCATATTAGAATTTTATCAATTAAAAAATACGTGAGCAACCAAATTTCAAGCCCCGTAGACAAATCATGCAAGAAGTCTCAAATGCAAATTAAGTGGATCTGAAAAAACAAAATCAAAATCAAATTTGGTAAGATGACAAAAATTAAATATCAATCGAATTTAGGGCATCAGTTCTCCAAGGTGATATTAACATCAACAAAATTCAGATGCAAATTACCCATTTACACAATTTCAGATTCATCATCTGCCCATTCGTATTTCTTATAACAATTCAAAAACCATTAAATCGAGAAACTCAAGAATGTAAAAAAAAAAAAACGAGAGGAAAATATGAAAGCGATCAGAACCTGTCGGGATTCATAAATAACATCAAAGAATATCAGCGGATTGACAGACATATGAATTTCTATCATCACTTCGCTTTTCTTTTCTTTCCCCTCTAAAGTTAAAAATCAACAACTTTATAAAATCAATTTCAACTATTTATCAACTGAAACAAAACTAAATCATGTAAGCATGTAAATCGTTTCATAAAAAAAAAACGTAAAAATTGAATGTAACTTCTTGTATAGGATTGCACCATCATCAGACAAACTGAAACAAACGAAGCCAGAAATATAAATGCACAAGTTAATGAAGGATGACTATGAGAAACAGAAGAACTTGGTGATTATTTATAGTAATAAATTAGGGTTTTATCAATTTTCCACGGCGAAGGACATAAACAGGGAAAGCCAGTTGGACCGGGTATACTTCAATGGCCCAACAACTCATCTATCTATAACTATTTTAAGATATTTATATTTACACCTCTAGTATCTAACATGGCACCCCTATATATTTTCAAAATTGTCAATAATGACATTTTATATTTTACATCTCTAAATTTTTACAGTTTTTAAAAAAAATATTACTCCGAAAAAATCAGTTAAAAATAAAAAATTTAATAAATATAAATAATTATCCAGTAAAAATATGTAATATTGAAAAGAAAAAAATTGTTTTATACCGAATTTTTATTTTATTATATAAATTTGGTATGCAGTTATACCATAGATATATATAAATAAGTGTGAATTTTGTCTCGGTCAAATTTATTTAAAAATATGGTGTGTCCGGATTTTTCTACTCTATAAATTTAGTGGTTTTTTTTTTTCTTCGGTTAAAGTGTTATAAATGAATGAATATAAGATGGATGAAGTTCCATGATATTTTACACCATTCTTCATCATTTTATAAGTATGCTTTAATTACATGTTTTATCTGAATTTTTAAAAATTTTAATCGAATTATAAAAGTATATGAGTAATTTATTTTATTGTTATAATTGATATATATTTTTCTCTCAGACAAAAGTGTTATCATGGCACAATATATTGAGAGACACCACAGTATTATTGTAGTTACCATTTGTTATGATACAAAAAATGGACTAAGTGGCAGGAGCGATAGAGATGATTAATTGTGAGATGAGAGGAAATTACAAGAACAACGGAAAGGTTAGATGTGGTATTCAGAATCATGGTCTATATGAGGATTTACACAATCATGAAGAAACACATGTTGTGAATGATATGACAAAATACAACATGACGTCAAGGTACATGATGGATGTATTGAAAGATAGGAATGTTAAGAGTTTAACAAGTGTTGAGCAAGTGTATAGAGCAAGAACTACATATCAGTCTACTATTAGAGGTCCATTAACTAATGTGTAACATTTGTTGTGGTTAATTTATAATGAAAAGTATTTGTGTTAGACAAAAATAGGTAAGAATCACATGTTATGGTGATATATTTTGGACGCATCATAATTTAGTGAAGTTTTTGAATATATTTCATCTGGTTTTAATCTTTAACTGCACGTATAAAGCCAACATGTATAGTGTAACACCTCATTTTCAATTAGTCTATTTTAATCGATTTATCTATAAATTAATTATGATTTTGTGTATTTTAAGTGATTGATGAATTGTGGTAGTTAAATAATCATATGGAGTAAAGGTTAGTTGGAATAAATTGGAGTCATTTAGAATTATTTTGATAATTAAATAATAAGAGATTATTTAATTTAATTAAGTAAATATATTAGAAAAATAAGATGTGTAGAGAAATTGAGGACAATGTTGGAATTAATGAAAATATAGAGGATAGGAAGGGAATGCCATAATTAGGGAATTGGGTTTTTCTTTTATTGAGAAGGAGAATGTAGAATAGAAACTGACAATACGTATAAAAGTGAGAAGAGGCAAAGAGGCAAGAAAGGTAAGGTAGGCTAGAGGTAGGAGAAGAAGAATTCCAAGGAGATGATTGTTTGCTTGCTAGGAAAAACAAGGTAAGGGGGAGATGTGCTTCTCTAATAGGTGTTAAAGCATGAGAGGTAGATGGAGAAACCCTTAACCTCCTTTGAATTGGATATTCTAATTCCTAGTTCTGAAAAGAGTGTAATGGATATGCACTGACAGTGTAAATTAGTTTTACACTGTCATCCAATGATATGCACTGATATTAAAGTATTTTTAAATTTTAAGTGTGACTTGTCACTTAACATGGTTGTGATTAGTTGACAGTGTAAAATTATTTTATACGGTCATTGCATATCCTTTTTTCTCTTCTGAAAATTGATGCTATAATTGTTATTATATGATAGTGGATTGATGAAATTTGTATGCCCTTTTATGAGTTTATTTTGGCATGATTGTTGAATATGCACCATTGTTGATAAATGGAGGTTTAGGCATGAGATGAATATGAAGGGTTGTAGGATGTGATGTGTTAATGTTGATGAAATACACACTATGAATATGTTATAATATGTATGTTGTGTTTTGGGTCAAATTTGAATGCTATGAGTGGGAAAATTAGAGTTTGGATCTGAACTCCATAGTAGAATTCGTGTTATGTCTGCCAGACCGCACTCAGCACGGGAAATCATGTTCAGTGTACTTGTGCTTAGCGCATGAAGTTGTGCTCAACGCGCTTGCGCTCAACACAGAAAATCGTGCTCAACACTGGAGTTGTTGTTTTGTTGGGGAATTTTCTGTTTTGATCTTCGTTGCACTATCCGATGATTTTGGTCATAACTTTTGATCCATAAGTCTAAATGAGTTGTCGTTTGTGATAACACGAAAACATATCGCTCTTTAGGCCTAATTTACACGAGTTATTTGTACGTTTTTATTGAATAATATGCATCACGAAGGTATTTTTATTTGTTTTCAGGTAAATTATATTTTCCAAGGCATAAGATGGCAAATAAGCTAAAAGGAGCAAAACAAGCTAAGAAATGGCAAGAAGAAAGAAGAAAAAATGACATTCTGCTAAGAAGCTCACACCAGAAGAGCGTTACGATCGCAATGCCTAGCGTTACGAACGTAACACCTAGCGCACATTGTTACGAACATAACATAACGCGTTACGAACGTAACAAAAGGCCTGAGTTGTTACGAACGTGATGATTTTTATTACGAACATAACACCTTAAAAACACAGTCTATGTAGTAAACCACGAAACAACCCACACGAAGTCCACACGATCTCATTCCATCAGTTGAGAATTTAGCGCACGTACTAAAATAATGGAACATGACAGTTACAAGAGAGAGCCTATATATTTGTTGAAGATTTCTCTTTGAAGGGGTCGAAGAATTTATTTCAGAACCATAATTTCCTTCTGTATTACATTACTTTGTTTTCTTGTTTTTAAACCATTATATTTTCCTTTCAAGCCTCTGTAACTTTCCAGTTCCCAAAAGTGTTAATTCTTCACATCTAAGGATTAACACACTTAGTTCTATATTTCGATCAATTATATCGCAAAAGCTACTGTACGAATTCAAGATTACCACGGCAATATAAATTACAGGTTTTTTATGCAATTTGATCTTTATTGTTTATATGTTATGTTGATTATTTCCATGAACTGTATTTTACGTTGTATGTTTTCTAATTACATTATGTCCGGCTAATCTTGTTTGTACCGGTATGTGACTCTTAAGCACCGAAGGAATTCGGTGATAACTTGGCTAAAATCTTTTATAAATAATTTTTGGTTTCCAATTTTCATATTTAATTTAACTACCATTGTCACGAGAGTGAAAGGATATTTAACACGATTTTGCCACGAGAGTGGGAAATTAATCATGGCAAGAACCTGCATGCGAGAGCTGGGGTTCGACCCAGATAGTGGTAACGAAACATTAATTTTTAAATACACGAGAGTGTTTTAACAAATTAATTAAACTCAAGTTGTTTTCAAAAAGTGTTATTAAATTTAAAGTGCATCCACTAGGTTTAGTAGCATAACTTATTTCATAAACACGAGAGTGCATATCTCAGGTGTTTAAACAATTCGTTTTTACCGAAATACTTTATATGCCAAAGTGATTCACCGAGTTCCCAAAGTCCGACTATCACATATCGGTATAACTATTACTATTGCTTTTAATTAAAATCTTTTTCCCCTAAAACCAAATATTCATCGCTTAGTTAAACATTTGTAACATTAGATCGTATGCGATTGATCCTCAGTCTCTGTGGGTTCGATAATCATTTAAAACTAGAACGACTAAACTGTATACTTACAGTTAGTATTCCGATAGACTCATAAAGTCCCGATCAAGTTTTTGGCACCGTTGTTGGGGACTGATTAGTCAATTAAGTACGATTCTGTTGTTGCACGTTTAGACCAGGCAACAGAAACCCTTTTTTGATTTGTATGCCAAGGACTCGCTCACAAGGCGAACCTCTTGACAAATCGACGGACGAATCTGAACGCATCCTTTCCATAAGACGTGCAGTCAGGGATTACTGTTTAAATCACGCTATTCCTTTACTGAAACCTGAAATCAAGATTGATTCTGAAACAGATTCTAATTCTTCCTCTGAAACCGAAACCAATCCAGAAATAAACATGGCTGAAGAACGAAGGACCCGTCTGTAATACCCCAAATTTGTCCTACCCTTTTACTTCCTATCTGGCTTACGCATTTTTGCATTTTTCTCACATTAGGTCATCTAACACATCATGCATCATTAATTGATAAATTGGCATAAGATCATGGATTTCGAGGAATAAGGGTTGGTGTATGGCTTTAAGGCTCTCATCTTCGCACAAGCTTGTTTCGGTTGATTTCTCCATTAATAATTTGTTTGAAGCTAGGTTTTCATTTCATGGACCTTATCATCATCAAGCTACGAGGCTATTCTTTTCTTCTCAATGTCAAGTTGCAAGGTTTTATGAGACGAAGCTAAAAATCAGGGTTTATACATTTTCATACTTGAGCTTGTCAGCATTCTACCCGAGGTTCATTCCATATCAAGGTATTCGCATGTCTCATCTTTCATATTCATCTGCAAAGAATCCCTCAGGGCATAGTCATTATCATCTATTGAGAAGGGGTCCAAGACGTCGTTGTTCTAGTGCTCATATAGTCGGGACATG